AAAATATGGCAGTGCAGTATTTGACTTTTCTTGTTCAAAGATATTTATATTTGTTAGTGTTTAAGTATTTATATGTGGCACAAAAATTAAGAACACTTAATCTGCTAAATTTATAGGACACGGAACTCAGATTCTGAATAGTTTAAAGCTGTAATTATCACATCTAATTTCTAATGTCTGTTGGCTCCATCCCAAGATTAATAACAAGAACATGTGAACATAGCAGGTGTCCCCTGAAGTGAAATTGACTTTCCAAATGCCTGGGGCTACACCTGCGCTCTGCCTTCCCAGAAAGCCTGAAAAGGAAAGCTGAAGCCAGGCCTGCCTTAGTGATAACATTCCCGCACACCGATTGGATAGATCTGAGGAGCAAAATGCAGAGACATCCCAAGTCAGTAACACTGAGAAGTTCCGGCCCTCTTTCACTAGTCTGTCTTCAAACCCGCTTTACCGACAGTATTTAAGTCTGAAAACAGAATAATGAAGGGGAAGCACTACTGATGTGAATTCATCATTTTACAGTGGTAGCAAAATTGTGTATCACAGGAATAGAAATGGGATTGCTAGTAAATAAGAATGGAGAACTAGTAGTAGATTAACACTAAATGAACAGTTTTCAATCAGAAAAGGACTTCTTTGAGCACAGCCCAGGCCTTCTATAAGCAGTACCACACTAAGCTTGTTTGATCTGTTGGTCACTGATTTAAAAATCAGTGTGAATTTATGGCACTGAGGAGCAAACGGAAATGTAGTTGATTGGAGTCATTCAGACGGATTCACACTTCATTACTTCTTCAAGCCCTTGTTGCTCTAAATTTACCCTGGTTGTATTTTAGCAGTTAGCTCTGAGTTACGTTACTCTTGAGAATGCACAGTATCACTATAAAACTATAAAACAGACCATAATTTAATTTTTTTGAGTGAAAGTTCAAAGTTCTGTTGATCTAACTTGTTGCCACAAATGTAGTTATTTTAGGAATAAAACTAATTCAGTTCCGGTAATACATTATTTAAAAAGTTCTAAAGTAGTTTTTTCAAAGAAAACTATTTCAGTGCATCTGTTAACAGAGCGTCTGAGAATGTTTTTGTTGGGCTCTGACAGGTGAGCAGAATGGGAGCAGAATGTAGGAGGAATCCTCAATTTCCCGGCAGCTCATCACTAGAATCTGGCTCCCCTTTTATGAAGGGAGGTAAGAGACCCAAAACTGAGAGCAACAGAGAAGCTCTCAGAACAGTCATCTGAGAACAAGATGTGGGGCTGAATTCCTTTGAGAGGGAGCCATTCAAGCCGTGAGACCTCTAGTTTACAATAGGGGGGCCGGGGATGTAGCTCAGCGGCACAGCACCTGCCTGGTAAGTGCAAAATCCTGAGTTTGATTCTGGGTACCAAAATAAATAAATAAAATAAGATCACACGCCTATCATCCCAGCATCTGGGAAGCTGAAACAGGAGGACTACAATTTTGAGGCCAGTCTTCAACACAAAAGACACTGTCTTTTTTTAAAAATGTCAGGCCTGGTGGCGCACGCTGTAATCCCAGCACTCCAGAGGTTGAGGCAGGAGGATCTCTGTGAGTTCGAGACCAGCCTGGGCACAAAGTGAGCTCAAGGCCAGCCTGAACTGCATACCGAGACTCTGTCTCAAAAAGACAGGAAAAAAAAAAAAAAAATTGGGGGTCTTCCAATTTTAAAGAAATTCTTTTTGACAAAGTTATGGGAGACGGGGACTTTTTGAGGATAGGAAAATGTTAGTTGCTTAACTGATCATATTTTAGAACATGAAGGACTAATTAATGGAAACTTGGAGCCAGGCGTGGTGGCATACACCTGTAATCTCAGCACTTGGGAGGCTGAGGCAGGAGAATCATTGCAAGTTCTAGACCAGCCTGGGCTACAAAGTGAACTCAAGGCCAGCCTGAACTATGCAGTGAGTCCCTGTCTCAAAAAAAAAAAAAAAAAGAAACCTAAGTTCTGATGTCTATACTTGTAGATATGAACTGAGTGTATTAATTCCATTACCCAGTTCCTGAGCTAATGACCCACACACATAAGACAGGCAACACAGATTCATTCCTACCTGGCAGTTGTTTCTCCATGACTTTTCTGTTCAAGTTGATCTGGACATTTTATTCTTAGTGCTTTAAGGAAAAAAGGAAAAAGACTAATTGATATCTATTATAGTAAGGACTTAAAAGCATGCATGCAGTGCTGGGGGGGTAGCTCAGTCATAAATACAATATGTGAGTTCACAGGAATTGATTGCCAAATGACACAGCTGTTCAGTACTGTCTGACTCAACCCTAATAAGCCAATCTTAATGATGTTAAAATTTTACTAATATTTACACAAACTACTCATCATAACAAAAACAGCCAGACTGATATGCTTTCTTTTTCTTTTTCCCTCAATACTTTTTTCCCCTGACAGTTTAGCTAGATGTTTTGTGTTTTCTTTGGGGTATCAGGAATCTAACTCAGGACCTTGCACTTGCCTGGCTGGCGCTGTGCCACTGAGCTATATCCCCAGCTAGCTAGGGTTTCAAATGAAAGAAAAGTCACAAATTTCCAAATCACTGTGCAGTTCACTACTCAAATACTTTGCATGTTTATAACACTATTAAATGAGTTTAAATCATGGTAGTTCCAGAAATCTTCAACATAGTAATTTAGATATGTCTGAGAATTCGTTTCTTTAAACACAAGGCATTTAAGTACTTCCTTGGGAGAACACACTTAATCCCCATCAAGCTGTCATCATCTGTTTGAGCACCTAAGGATGCGAATACAAATAAGCTGTGTGTGGTTTGGGGTTCTTACCTAGCAGCTGATTTTTGAGAATACACGGTTGTATTTTGAGTTCCCCATCTTCAGGTGCTCCGTATTCTGTTTTAAAAATAAAAAAGGATGAATGATAAACACCTCTAACAAAAAATGTATAGAGGCCAGAGTCAACAGAGGCGTGTTCCTCCCCAGGATAAACCTGCTGACAACTGGTGTGCTGACCAGGGGTTCACTTCTTTTTACCCAGTTCTGTGGCCTTTAGAGATGGGCAGCAAGCCCTCCTCCCACAAGTCAGTCCTCCCTTGTCAGTGGGTTACATTATGTTCCTCGGGGACTGAGAGTCCAGATTCAAACCAGCAAGATCAACGTACCTTCAGACACTCCAACATTTACTTAGTTTCAGCTCGTGCTAGTGCACACCTGTAATCCTAGCACTCAGGAGGCTGAGGCAGGAGGATCACTGGGAGTTCAATCCAGCCTAAGCTACATAGTGAATTCAAGGCCAGTCTGAACCATGTCTCAAAACAAAGAAAACCCAAAACAAGAATAGCAGTAATTCCCTTTCAGAGTCCTGAGAGAGAAACCTGCTATTGTTCAGGACACAAGTCCCAGGACACCTTCCCATCTTCACCAGGTGGTGCAGTTCCAGGCTGGGTGTCCAGTGTTACTGCTACAGTCTCCTCCTCAGCCTGGAAATGCCACACAGCAGCCCGTTATCTGTGCAGGACACACGCCAAGACTCCCAGTGGGTGCCTCCAGTGGGGCTGGCACCAGTGCCCACATACGCTATTCACTTACGATAAAGCTGAAGTTGTTAATTAGGCCCAGGAAGAGGATGGGGTGAATATTAAAATATTGGGTAATACCAGTTACATGAATGTGCTTTCTTTCAAAATATGCTGTCACCATTTCTCTCTCTCTCTTTTTTTTTTTTTTTTTTTTTGTCTCAGGAATCCAATTCAGGACGTTGAGCTCGCCAAGCTCAAGGCGCTGTGCAGCTGAGCTATATCCCCGGCCCCTTCACCTTTTCTCTTAAGTGAAGCCCTCCCCTCGAGTTCCTCTGGCAAACCAGACTATCAGCATCACTGGTCTTGCACTTTGGGGGTATTTTCAAATACGTGAAAGTAGCGTGAGTTACATGGGCATGAGTGCTGTGGTACAAGGACTGTCCACTGATAAGGACAGAGCTACTGACTGAAAGGCCAATGGCGCATACAGCGTGAACACGTAAGATAAAGTGAAGTGAGGCCTCACAAGGCGATCTGTCCTGGGCAGGATGAGATGGGTTTGTTACTCGGAATACTGTACAATTTAAAGCGATGAGTTTATTTCTGGAATGTTCCATGTCACGTGTTTTGGAATGAGGCTGACTACAAGTTGCAGATAAGAGGGGGCTACTGCACTGCTCTCCTGCCCTGTACCAAGGGACAGCATCTTCCTGTTTGCTCTTCCCCCTCGCCTGCTTTTGCCTGGCATTCTTAGCAGGGAAACGGTGAGCCGTACCTGCAGGCTGATTTAGAGCCTTCCCCTCCCCACCCCAAATGATTTAGAATTCACCCAGATGGCCAGGAAATTGGGCCAGCTCATGGAGTAATTTGAAAACAATTCCCACGGGCAGCTTTTCTTCCTCAAAGATACTGTTGTAGCCCAAAGCGTTTATGCAGTGAGTTTCTTGCAGTAGGAAACATATAAAAAGGAAAATTATATAAAAGTGAAATGTAGAATAACAAGACAAAACAAAATGGGAAGTACATCAGGGACGAAAACACACTAATTCTTAGCTTCAAAGCCTGAGGAATTGGGCCAAAGAATTGACAGGACCATAATGTATACCAAGTACCATACTCAGACCAGAGGGCAAGCCCTTGGGACAAGGGTGCTTAGGAAGAAGGGAGCTCAGATGAACTTCACTTCTGGGGACTTTAAAAAACACCTGTGCCTTTGAGATAACCTGGAATGCTTCCCACAGCTGGTTTACCTCTGTGTGCTCTCACCTCGCTGAAGTGGCCCCCGGAAAGTGCCTACAATCCATTTCCATGAGAACAAAGAGACTTAAGACAGGGAAAAAACAAAAACAGCACTGAGAACAGCCTGTGCTACCCAGGAAAGAACTGGACTCCATCAGGAGCCGCTAAGCTTTTGTGACGTACTGTGACAAAGGAGCTGGTATCTAGGATGGGCTGCAACAAAGTCTTCATTTGGTCTGTTTTTGTCTGGATCCTGATGTCCACCAGCCTTCTTCCACTCATTCCCAAAAGCTTTCTGGTAATCAAGCTCAGCTCCACGCCTTTCCTCTGGAAGAATCTGTTGATACGAAATAAAAAGACTAAGCATTTCGGTGGCTTACCCAGTCCTTCCTTCTCCGCTACCCACCCACAGAGGAAAATCACACTGAGAGGGATGAGACAGTCCTACTTGTCACCTTGCTTTTCTAACCTTGGTGAACTTAGGCGTTTATTCAAGAATTACTCCAGTTGTGTCATTTACATCATGAGAGCATTTACCCACAAGCCAGTTTCCGGATGATGCTGGGTGCCAAGTATCGCCTCTCCTGTGTGCCGGGAAGGTGCTCACCCGAGAGGAGCTGCCTTACTCCACTGAGCAGAAGAGTGTGGGCAGGCCTGGCCTCCCACTTTTATGGGGAGACGTAGCTGACAAGGAGAGGAGAAATATTCTCTGTGGTTCTGTCTTCCTACCTCATTCCCCCAAAGAAACAGGAAAAAGTGCCCAGGGCTCCTCACCCTCCCTCAAGGGTAATAAATCAGCCAGGGTAGCAAAGCACAGGCCTTTCTGGCACTGACCTACGTGTAAGCCTCTATCCTGAGGAGTCAGGAAAGAACCCTGGTTGCGCCATTTGAAAGAGATACATCTTGTACCTTCTATAATATTTGAATATAATTTCTTTTCTTTAATGGAAACTTTTTGTGTTTGCAGTGCTGGGAATGGAACCCAAGGCTTCACACATGTTAGGCAAGCACTCTACCACAGAGCTACAGTCCCAGCCTTTTTTTTTTTTAATTTAATTTAGGTTCTCTTAAGTTTCCCAGGGTGGTCTTGAACTTGTGACCTTCCTGCCATAGGGTCCCAAGTAGCTGGGATTGTGGTTGGGATTTCTCCACCCCAAAAATAATTTCTTTTTATGGCTTTTGATTATTTGATACTCTAAAGAAAGACCTAAAGTCCGGGGCAGTGGTACATGCCTCTAGTCCCAGCTATGTGAAAGGCTGAGGCAAAGAAGGTCACCAAGGTCGAGCCCTGGTGTTGAATGTCATCTTGGACAAGCTGGTGAGAGCCCCCCTTTCTCAGAAAAAAACACAACCAAAGAAGTAGTCATGATACCAGCACTCACCTCACGTCCATTCAGGGTCTTCAGCTGACTAATTTTGGCAATGATGAACTGCAGAATGGTCTCAGCCTCTTTCCTTCTTTCAGTGATGGGGTTTCTTAGGCAGTACAATGATTGCAGGCTCTGTAGCTTATCCAGCTCATTGATAAATGACCACTGAAGGCCAACAAAACAAAACAAATAAAAGCAACACGTTTCAGGCTACCTTTAAAGATCACTGGAACTAGTTAGTAACAGAAAAGCAAAGTCCCCATTTCTGATCTGATGGATTCCAGGAAGCCATCAGCACCAGGCAGCCCACAGGAAGATGAACCAGACCTTTATCCCACACCACGCCACTGGAAATGACCAAGTCTGCTGAAGTGTGAACCAAACTAATTCCTTAATATTTTTGACCTTATGAGAAGTTTTACTTGCAGGAAGCATTTCTCTTTTTATTTAAAAATTTTAATGGAAGAAGAAACCTTTGAACTCTGCTTGAGAGTGGGAACAAGCAAGAATGTGCGGAGTGTACTGTGAAGCCATCCTTACATGTTCTATGTGGTTATCATTCACTAAAAGGTACCGCAGGGACAGGAACATGGATGTCTTGCAGCCTAGGAAGAAGAGAGTTAATACTCTAAAGAAAGACCTAAAGTCTCCCTGCATTGTTTTACTTGCAGGAAGCAGAGTTCAAAGGTTTCTTCTTCCATTAAAAATTTTAAATAAAAAGAGAAATGCTTCCTGCAAGTAAAACAGTGAGACATGAGTACTCCTGCAAGTAAAACATGAGTTTCACACAGCAGAAGTGAAATAAATAGCCAATGTGTGGAGAAAGGGGAATATATTGATGTCATATACCAGTTGCAGTATCCACAAAATGCATAGAAGAAATTCCAGTGTCAGAAAGTTTAAGTTGTAGTAATCTGAAATTAAAACATGTTAAACTTGGTTATACAGAATATAAAATGCTTTGAGCAATCAATCTCTGCCTGGGTTTTCATTCAGGTCCAGTTGTGGGCACATGTAAGAACTCTTGATGCTGAAGGCGAGAGAGTCTACAGTCCTAGAACATCCTGGGGTACCTACCCTAGTGTCAGGTGCTAAGTAGGGCTCAAGAGAAACACGGTCTCTGTTCTCAAGTTGTAACAAATGTTAAGTATTATCTTAGTATAAGGTAATACTTTATAGTAGTATCACCAGGACCAAATTATACATTCCTCAAATTATCTAGAACCTAGTCCACATTTTATATGATTTACAAGTAAATTCCCCAAAGGGAATTGTTGTTTAGGGAGTCCATTATTGCTGTCATATTCTACTGAGAAAGTGTCTATAGCATACCAAAATTCATTCCCTAAAAGTTTACTAGGCCTACTTACTGCAATAGTTATGCTATAAGTAAATCACCAAGGGAGAGAAAAAAAAGAGCTGATGTGCATGTGCCAGCTCTCCACGAGGAGTGTAATCCTCATGTACTACAAACATGGACTGGTAAAAGCAAAAATTGAAAAAATACCTTAAAAAAGCAAATTACCTAGGCAGATACGCAATCAGGAGCAGCTGGTTTTCATTGCCTAATGGGTTAGAGGAAAGGTCTAACACCTTGACAGTTTGTAGAACATCAGTGGGTCTGTATGGAAAATAAAATTTTTTCATTATGAATTGTTTTCAAAGATACAGCCTTAAAATACCTATACTTGGTACGAGGGTGGCTTGGGGGAGGGAAACAGGTGGATATGGCCATACAAGGGCAACCTGAGGGACATCTCAGGTGAAGATGTTCCCAGCTGAGGTAGTTTCAGTATCCTATTCGTGATATTATGCCAGAGATTTGTACCTTGTTACCTACGGGGGAACTGGGTAGGGGGACGGGTGATTTCTATTATTTCTTACAATTGTGTATAAATCCATAAGTATCTCAAAATAAAAAGTTTAATGAAAAACTTCCTGCATTTGTTTCTATAATGAATAAAGCCATTCTGTACAATAAAATCTTAATTTAAGGGCTGGGGATATAGCTTACTGCTAAAGCACTTGCCTAGCCAGGTTCAGTCTCTACCACCACAGAAAGAAAACAACATTTTTTATTTATTTAAATCTGGATTTGCTAAAATTTCCCCTCATGTGTATATTTTACATAGTAGTTTAATATTATTAACAAAAGAGGGAAGTGAAGCCACAACACATGCATGATAACATGCTTTTACATATACAGTGGTTAGTACAATGACCTGACCAGGTAATGCTGATTAAAAATCTATTATTTAGTTGGCTGTGGGGGTGCATGCCTGTAATGCCAGCTACTTGGGAAACTGAGGCAGGAGGATCACAAGTTCAAGGCCAGTCTGGGCAATGCAGTGAGACCCTGTCTCAAAATGAAGAATAAAAAGGGGTTGGAGATGCAGGTCAGTGGTAGAGTGTCCCTGAATTCAATCAGCAGTTCCACAAAAAAAAGGAAAAAAATCCATTATTTGATCTTTGGAAAAAAAAAGAAAAAGAAAAAAACAGAAAAAAAGTGCTCAGCATAGCCTAGAGAACTCCATTTAGAAACTACTAGTCAAATACATTTATGCAAAACTATTAAACTTCAAGGCTGAGTGTGGTGGCACACGCCTGTAACCCCAGCACACAGGAGGCTGAGGCAGAAGGATAGTGTGAGTTTGAGGCCAGTGTGGGCTACATAGTGAATTCAAGGCCAGTCTCAACTACATAGCAAAACTCTGTCTCAAAACAAAACAAAACAAAAAAAACCCAAAACTAATAAACAGCAAATATTTAATTCAAAATGTCATTGATGAATTTATGATTTATTTATAAAAGAAATGAATATTTCAAATGTAGTCCTAAAAGTTAATGTTAGATGTAAGCAGGACGATTCACTGAAGTAAACCCTGTTACCTTTCTGAAATGCAAATCCTGTTTGCACTGAGGTGCAGCTCCTCAAGGACTGGCCACCGAGGGGCACAGAGGAGGACCTGGAAGGGAAACAACTCAGGTGACACGGCCACGCCTGGTATTTCCTCCCCCTGTTCCCTGCCACAGCCCCACAGGAACTCTGCTTAGTCCTTGCTCGGAAATAAAATTCCCCGGGGACATTTCACACGGGCTGCAGCTGGGCCTGTACGGGTGGCCATGGAAGGGCTGCCCTGGAAGGCAGCCTGGGACAGGCTGTCACAAAGTGGAGCTGAAGATGCTGACCCATCCGAGTCTGCTTAGTCAAAGGGCAGAATGGTGCTGACCAGCCTCCTCAGTTCTAGGTGCCAGTCGGTGTGTACAGAATTCACTGACCAGCAAGCAGGACCCTGACCTATCCTGGCCACTGGCACTGACAGATGAGCCAAGAGGCTCTCTCCGCACATGGTTCCAAAAGGAATGCCTGAGGAGACTCCACTGACCTTGACAGACATGTTAATTTTGACTGACGTATGTCTCACTTTAACCTGGTTTTAAACACCCAGCAGAACAGTGTAGCCAAAAGACGTATGAAAACAATACCATAGTAAGAAAAGCTAGATATAAAAAGGGGCTGTAATCGCTGCTCCTTCTGGCAGTTTTCAGTGACACCAGTAGCTGACTCCTGTTATGGCAACATTAAGGAAAAAACTACAGTGGAATCTGTAAGAGCTCAGCAAGAGTCTTTACATTTCTTAGCTAAAATTGTCCTTCATTCCTGCCAAAGTCTCCATCTTCTTATAGCTAAAACTATAGGGACTTCTGACAAGGAATATCGGACTTATAAACCTCCGTTAGTCGGGGGATCTAACAGCCAACTGATTAGCCACCATTCCAGTCCCCCACGTGCGGTTTCTGGACGTGGCTTTGCCCAACCTGCCTTTCCATCCCTGTGCTCACACTTTCGATTATAGATGTTTTCATGTCTTGGAAAGTTTGTTTATCCTTGCCTAGAGGCTGCCAAACTCCAGCTGATCCTGCAGATGGAACCAGTGACAAATGCGCCAGACTCCTTTTACCAGGATCCACCCGATCAACCTCGTAAAGGGAGCTCATAACTGCTAAACTGCAACATGCCTTCTAGCCAAGGCCCATGGGGTTAGCTCTCTGGGGGCTATCCCTAACTGTGGTCTCCCCTGCACCGAGCCTTCTCAGCTGGAAGTGGCTAGGTGGAAACTATGCCTCTTCTCTGCTCACTGCAGTTAGGGACACCTCTGCAGAGGGGGCAGAACTACAGACAGCCAAGTTAGGTGGAACTATTGTAGGCAGTCAGATGGGGCTGGGCCCTCCGGGAAGTCAGTGTAGAAGATGGAATCCATGGAGACTGTGACTGGAGGCGAACCTTTGCATCTTTGAAGATTCAAGTCCCAAAGGCCAGGTTTGCATACATGCCTAAAGGACAGAAGGAAGCTTGAGGTGATTAGTATCACCCCTCTGAGGTTTCCCATTATGTGATCAGGGGTGGGGCCTCTCTCACCCACTCACACTAAAGCCACTAAGAGTACTAAAACTGAAAACAAGACTATAGATTATTGACCAAAAGTAATGATGTCATCCATATGCCCTTGCTACTATTGGGTCAATATTACCTGAGTGGCTGTACTTGTAATCTCATCAGTTGATCATCATTTTGACCCATATTGTACCCACCTCAAGATACTGCTCCATAAAACTTCCTCTGAGAAGTGGGCTTTATGGCAACCCATTTGGGACCCTTCCTATCTCTCAGGAACTATTCCTAATCCCCATACCTTTTCTTCAATACATTTTCCTACTCTTAAAACAAAAAGAATAATACACTGACCAGGCAAAATGGTTCAATGATGACTTTGAAACTTTTTCCCCCAAACTTTACTGCCAACCTCTCGCACTTCAATGTCAAAGTGTCTTTCTTGTCCTGACACTAAGTCCACATATGCAGACAGGCAGCGAGACCCTACCAAGGAAGGGTCTGGCAAAGGGACACCAGGGCTTTGGCCAGGTCAAGGCTGCAAAGTGAAAGGGCTCCACGTCAGACGAACAGGGTTTGAGGGGTGAGAGCACCACATGCAAGTGCCCAGAACAGTAAGTCCCTGACTTAGGAGGATTTAAGTTTTCAACTTTCAGAGACAAACAAACTTCGAGTTACAGACATTTGTAGATGC